GCAGGGCATTGTTGAGGCAGGAAGAAACAGTGCTCCAAAATCATGACTGAACACTGCGCTATGGAAAATTATGGATTTAATCCTTAAATTGCACCAGCTATTGCTCAAGTAAGAAACAAAGAATAGGCAGTAGGAAATACCACACCACTTACACAGTGGTGTCCATAGACCCTTAAGTGGTAACATGAATTGCAGTTGCATGCTGGTTAATTGGGGAGGGGGGAGAACCCCTAAAAATAAAAATAATTTTAACTGCAACATTCTAAATATGTAATCATGCTTGGCTTTATTACTCAGCCTTTATTGAGAGCTGCTCATAAACATAATCCTTGGGATAAAACAATAATTGCTTTTTTTTTTTTCCCTTAAGGAAGTGCCAAATTTCCTATTTTTGCTATAAACTTCCTCATCCTAAATGTAAAACCTGTACAGTATGTACTCACTTCAGCACTCTACGGAGACAAGCACAGTCCTTGAAACTGGCTGGCAGGTAGTTTCTGCAGAAGGCATGATAACACCTCCCAGCGTGTGCACACGTACATACACACACACACACGTGCACTTAAGAGTTTCAGGGCTCTCTGCCGATGCCCTGGGCCACTTCTGTCACCCAGCGTGCGGAGAACATGGGTGAGGACAGGCAAAGTTGGGCTAAAAGTGCAAGTTCCTGCTCTTGATGCTTCCTGACTCCTGCATTGATGATACACAGCATGGCCACCAAGAGAAAGGCTGGCCCTGGAGTTGTTCCCTCTCCCAGAGGCAGACGGCCGCTGCCAGGCCATGAGCTGCGTCTTCCTCTGTGACCACCACGCCAGAGGGCACGGAGCCAGTAGGTCCCCGGCCGCTGAGAAACCCCACCCCTCCTGGCAAGGAGACCTCGCTGCTGGCTGTGCCGGGCTGTCCTCATCCTTCCTGGCCCTGCAGGAGCTGTGGGGCAGCAACAGGGGCTGGGCGCTCCGCTCCCGCCGTTATCCGACCTGAAGACCTGAACAGGAATAAGAATGGCACGCAGGCAAGATGTCAGCGCTGCGGAAAGCAGCGGCTCCCAGCTCCCTGCGCTCGCTGGCCCCGCTCCTCCCTCCGCACCCATACCCACGACCCTGCCTGGGTTACCTCTGCAGCAACAGTCACCCACTACGGACACCCTCTCCCATGATGGAGCAGATCACCATCCCTTTATGTCATGAGGAAAACTGGCAACTGAACACAACCATTTGCGGGGCGGAGGAGTGGGAAACATAGTGGTAAAAGAAAGAAGGAAAATAAACAAAAACATGCAACTGGAGTATTTTAAAATGCAGAGCACATATCATGCTCATCCTACTGTAAGACTTTCCGCTACAAGAGCCAAATTCCTGCTCCCTAGCAGTTTTTGCCCATTACCCTCATGTAGTAAAATCAAACAAGAAAATACGTTTGTAAAAACTGGAATGATTCACTGGAGAGAGGAGTAAGACGCTGCGTGAAACTACTTCATTCTGAAGGCAGAGCAGAGCTCTGCTGGGCAGCATCCACCCCCAACCTTCAGAGATCACAGTCCACCTTCGAGGGAGGCAGCCGGATGAGAGCAAACCCCGCTGCTCCCAGGCACGCAGGTCTCCAGCCGTCCCAGCGCTAGCCGCACTCTACAGCTCCTGCCACAGGCATTTCTCATGTGTACTCCACACAGCTCAAAGTCCCCGTTCCTTGTTTCAGCTTACACCAAAATACTCCTTTTCAAGGAAATCTCAACAGTATATTACAGACTGTAATTACATTACTAACCCCATATAAATTTCCATTAATCAGAGCTGTGATACGGCCACAAAATCAACATCTCAGCAAAGCTCTGCTGTACGTGCCCTTTGATAGAAAACTCATTTTCCCCTCCAGAAGGGCACGTCGGCTACCAAACTTCCAGAAACAAACAGTTTAGAAGATAAAGTGCTTTCACAAATTAGCAAACCTAAGTGCAGTGTTCATATCTCATAATTCTCAACCTCTTTAAAGTAGATGCTTAAATATCGGTAGGCTTGTGCTTTGTTCTAGCACTCTTTCATCCTTTTCCAGAAAGTTCATTCAATTTCAGCCAAAACAAATGAATCCAGCAGATCTACAGTTGCCCCTGCTGCTGTTAAGTACTCAGAAGAGCATTGATGCTCTGGATTTTTTTTCCCTCAGATAACTCAGTTTATCAGGGCTAGCTACAAGAACACTGCACAAAGTCAACACGAAAAACAGCAAAGGTATTGAGAATATAATGCAGTCTCTTCTCTGTTAGTTAATTATTTCCTCCGATCACTTTTTCCTCATTTTGAAACAGGAAATGACAAAATTATAAGCCTCATAATCAAAGGCTCCTAATTCTAATGCCCCCCTCATAATCTTTTATATAATGACAATTAAAAGTATCTTTTTCACTGAGACAATAATTCTCAAGTCTTGGAAATACAATAAAACTTCTTCGGCTCCTTTGATAAGTATGCCAGCTGCACAGAGAACTCTGCCGGGAGAAGGCCCCTAGCAACGTGTTATAATTTTGTCACGGCAAACTAGTTGCTTGCAGTTGTACACGTGCAATCGAGTTTAAACAGCAAAATGCAAGGAGTATAGATACTTTACTATATGTTATTTTCATTTTGCCTCCTCTGCTATTGAGCACTTTTCATAGTATCAAGGACATTAAATCAAATGGCTAAAAGCCAACAATGACTTCAGTTATTTACAGGCCTGGGAGCCCACAGAACAAACTCTTCGGAATAATATTAATTTAAGATGAAAGCTCTAGTTGTAAGAAGGATTCAGTTGGATATTTTCAAGCATTCATTATAACTGATCTAAAACATCTGGGATACTTCCTGCCAAGGACACTAATCTCCTTGCAGTTATGACACAGTAACTAAAAAAAGTTATTTTCAAACTAAGAGGGGCAGGCAGATAACTACCCACTCCAGGAACGTATTCTCGAGCGCATAAATGCTAATAAATAACTACCATTAGGTAAGGTCGTGTTGTAACACTCGATCCCCAGGTAGGATCTCCAGAGCCGGCAGGTTATGGAGCAGTCTGTCTCTTGGGAATCTCCCTGCCTGCTTGGCAGGACAGCCCTGGTGGGTGCAGAGAGCAGTCTGTGGCACAGGGTGCTGCCCTGCTGCCAGGCATCAGCTCCGCAAAGGAGGCACCCAGGGCAAGGCGAGAGACAGGCGGTGGGACAAAACCCAGAATATGGCACTACTGGCTGTCCTCGGCCTGATTATTATACAAAAAAAAAGATGAGATTTTGGTGAGGGGATGTGTTGTCACAAGGAGCATAGGAAATAAAAGTGATCCTTGGAGGAAACGGGTTTAGGAACCTCCACGTTACAACTCCACTGGATACAAAATATGTCAGGCTTCTAAACAACTTGCTTAAAAAAAATTATAAAACAGGGCTACATTTGTTGTGCCTGCCAAAATCACATAAACATTCTAAAACATCATTAGAAAAGGCAGAAAAACAAATTTGCAACAACTCTAAGTTACTAACCTTCAAATACAGTCATCTGATTTTTAAAGTGTTAAAATTTTAACACACATATATATGCACAGCACACGCACACACACACACATATATATACACACACTACCCAAACAGGAAAAAAAATTCCCAAGGCAGAATTGGTTTTGACGTTTGGGCTCTCAGACAATATACATACACATACATGTGAAACCAAGGACGGCATCGCAATTTAGAGGGAAAGGAGGAGGAGAGGTTTTTACATCTGCAGAAGGTCCTTTAAAAGTCATGGCAAACACCTCCGGCAACCTGAGCCTCTCAAAACCAAAAGGACTGATCTTGTGCTGGAAGAGCTAGGTTGCCTAATGACTTTTAAAATAAATCTGAGACTTTCCCAATTTTATCACGATTCCTCTGACTGCTGCCAATCCTAGTTCCAAATGAAGAGCATTCATTATACCACTATGGGTTGCAATGCCAGCAATATCAAGAAATTACTTATTTCTAGCTTTCTGGCTCCCTTGCTGCCCCAGAATAACTGCTTTGGGGCGTGAATGAAGACACCGCTTTGGTTGCTGACTATAACAGCCCATAGCCAAGTCTGGGCTCACCTCTAAAACACCCAGCTGATTCTCATGCACAATTTTCAGGGCACCTTGGCTCTCCCCTGTGGTACTACTTATGACCATGCACACCTACCTCCCCAAAGAAGCATATCCTTTAAGGACACAGAAGTCTAAACACGTAAAGCTTAGGGAATTTCTTTTTAGAGATTAATTTTCCACCAGAATTCACTCTTAGTCATAACGTATCCCAAATCAGAATCCTCCCTTGAAAAACCAAAGAAAACGCTTGCTTCCAGTTGACTAGGTTTTCCCTTGTTAGTCTCAAACCCAGAATTGATTGATGATACAGTCTTAAAACGTTAGCAGGATCCTAACCATCAAGCATACATTGAAAACAACATATACCGGAAACACACCGTAATAAATTAGATAGTTTTTCCCATTTAAAAATGACAATCCATTATTAAGAAATACTTCTAATCCAATTATAATCCTAGAAGTACTTTAATGTTAAAGATCTTGCCCTATTAAGCTTGTTTTCATTGTATCCAATCCATTTGCAAGTGATGCTTACTTTTGTAAACAGATTTCTGCCAATCTCTATATAAAAGCATCATGACTAATAGCTTGTTCAACTGATTGAGCTTAGCAGGTTGGCTTGCAACGTCAAAGGAAACTAAAACCAAAGAATAAAAGCATTCTAGAAAAATGTTCATCAAAATTTTCACGGTATTTTCACAAAATATGTTGTTTAAACAATTGTTAAGAGTTCAAGTCATTTAAAAATGATATTTTAAAATTAGCTATGTTAAAATACAAGCAAAAAGATAAAAATTGCTGAATTTGCAGTGGATTAGCTTGAGAAAACTGATTCTTATGAAAAACATTAACTTCAATAGACCTTACTGTCTGAAAGAAATACAAGAGTAAAGAATGCATAAAGACCACTCAGAGCAGTATTCAACATTCTAGCGTATATTTATTAGATATATTATTTAGGAAATAGTTTAACATTTCAATATTAAAGTTACAAGTTTCTAATAAAAATAATGAACTCTAGAACAGGGTTAATTCCTTTTTTTGCAGAGTCTAGTGCTGCTACAGTTACATAGACATGTAAACACTTGAAAAATCTTAGGCTGAAACAGATGTCCACTAGGGAAGTAACGATTTCAACTTTTGTCAGAAGAATCTACGCCGCACTAACAAAACTCCTCTTTGTTTACAAGTGTATCAAACAAACAGCTTTAAGAGGCAAAAAGCTGTTTGCAGAGCTTCATCTTGGCCCCCATTTTATGTCTTTTACACCATGAAATTGTCTTTTCAAAGCATGGCTGTCTGCCCACTCAGCATCCAGAAATGAGTCGTCATCATTCTCTTCTAGTTTCTGTAAACAGAACCGACAGGTTAAGAAGTCAGCGATGAATGTAACCTGTGCTTAAAGTCTGCAAATGCCGTATCATACGCACAGTAAAAAAAGCACTGTTACCTTAAGTTCCTCCTGCTTTTTGTAGTAATACAGCATCATCTGTTTTTGCTCTTCATGGCTAATCACAGGCTCACGTCCTGGAGCTCCTTGCCCCTTCTGAAAGGGAAACAGTGTGTATTTCATTTGTGACGGCATTTGCGACACAAGGAAGAATATCAGAAGCTGCTATGCAAACATAGCAAAATCTTTCTTCAGACAAGACTTCTCAAACTTAACAACGTCCTGCAGGACAAGAAAATCAATGTTAAGAAACCTCTGCTGTATTCAAGTGGGAATTATTCTTCCTCTTAGCATCTCAATCATCCTGTTAGCTTTGTGGACATCAACGGGAGCAGCAGACAGGATTACTGAGCCTGTTTTGCTCAAACTTCTGCCCTGAAAGACATTACAAGTCTCTCACCTTTACAGCTGTCTCAGGATGGGCTCATCCATCTTTAACTTCTCTGTTAATACGTACGCAAGATGGCATAAGGCTTTGAAAAGCCACAGAGGAGGACAGTCACAAAACAGTATAGTTACTACAAATAAAGGAACTTTTTTTTTTTTCTAGGCAACTGTCCTCATGGAAGAAATGATGCATACAGCAGAAAATAGCTGATGACAGCTATCGTCAACAATGGCAAACAGAACCATTTAAATGGGGATGATGAATCCTTTCTGGAACAAAAAGGGTCTGAGGTGGTCTAAATTAGCTCTCCAACCCAAGAATGCAGGCATCCATCATCAGATAAGAAGAGGCAGAGAACTACTGTACTACTTTGCATTCTCTGAAGGGGACCATAACCTAATTAGACTGTAAGAAAACTTTCCAGGGAACCTATACTTCAATGGCTGTTGTGCAGTCACACAAGTTTTCAGTCACCCTGATATGAAAAAGAAAACAGTTCTTCTCGGACATATGACGAACACATAAGCCTCTTGATTTAGCTTCAAGGAATTCTATTACAAGACGCTTGCAGATAATAAGAACTGGCTGTGGCCATTAATGCTTGCTGTGGCAGAGAAGCTCTTGCTGACATGGAAGTGAAAGGCAGCTCTAGAATAATTCTGAAGTATGGATAAGCACCCTCTCCGAGGCATTTGACATTCACAAATGCACCTCTTGAATGTGATTATATATACAAGAGCAGGGCGAACATGTGGAAATACTTTCTGACAATTCTCTGAAAGCGAGTTAAAAACCAAACATTCTTCCCTTCATCATGAGGTCACTGAGTATGGCATTCCCACCAGAGCTGAACAGAAGAACGACATAGTTGCTACAACATCACTTTATCCAAAAAAATAATGATCAATCCTAATAATTTAGTACTTAATTCTGATATTGCAAGAACAGCATCATTGTTGCATCAGGTGCCAGTGTATGCTTAATGACTGGCTTTTGCTAAAGCATCAGAGGCCTATAAGCTGAGAAGCACATGGAGGTCTTTGCAGCATTTTTGCTCATTACTAGGGAGGATGGCTCAGGCTTGTATTCACAGTTAATACAGAAGGTCTCATCTGTTTTGCCACCTTTGATGACTGGCCTGTCTGATTTCTTTGAAGAGTTCGGCTGGTAACTTTGGGTGCAGCTGACAGGACAACTGGGTGGCACAGCAGCACAGCCCCAGCAGCTTATTTTTTCCTTCTCGCTACCAGGGAGCTCCCACTGCACTCTTTCACAGCATATAACCTCTTGAAGATGCACGCCCACATTTCAAATGCCAATGTGAGACAGTCTGAGGACATGCCATCAAGAAGACTCAGTATATCACAGGCAGGAAATCACTGATTTACAGACACTTTCTTTCAGACAAAGAACAGACATGAAAGGGGGAAAGAATCTATACCTCATATACACAAAGCATTAAAACTGATTTTCAAAGGTAGAGAGGGAAAAAACCAAATAACAAACATTCACAAAGACAATTAGAAAAAACAGCAAAGATTGAATGAACGGGTCTGTTCAATGTTGCTGCGGATACTGAAAAGGAATTGAGAGCTGGTCAAGGTTTTGGTTTTAAAACTTTACAGGTTGTATTTAGTGTATTTTTAAATCTTTATACAGACGTCTTGGTTGTACGTTACAAAAATACTATGCAGTAAGTAATGACAACTACAGTATTTAACTGATGGGCAAAGGAATTAATAAAAATCCTTAGAATATACAAAATTAAAAGCATAAAATAGGTGTACAGTTTTAAGACACTCAAGCTGCAACTCATCTAATTCATTTTATACAGCTACTGCTGGTTTTCTTCCCTGGAGAATTAGATGGCCAAGGATGAAAAATATGTAAAGATAACTTCCAACAATACTTACTTTCTGTATCTTGACAATGATAGTTGTTTTCTCATTTTTGCCCACATAGTCAGAGAGCAATTTTATTTCTTTCAACTCCTTTCCTGCCCACCATAATTGTGCTTCTGATTCTTTTATAACTTCAAGTCCATCCTGTGACAAATGAATACACAAGGTGAAGGTGGGGAGAAATATTTGCTTTTTTAGTTTTTTTAAACAAAACAAATTGTTTATTTTGTTTTGTTATGTAGAAAAAAGTTATGGGAAAATCCTTCTGGAATGACAATGTAATTCACCTGATTTTAAGCTCTGCTTTGTTACACCTTTCTCCTCATATCAAACTATAGCATTTTGGTTCTCTTGTTACAATGTTCCATTCAATCTTGATGCAACAGAAACTCTGTGGGCAATAAATTCTCAATGCTGGCACTACAAAGAAAATATAAGCTATTCACATTGGGTCCCAGATTTACCTGAACTCAAATTTCGTATGGAACACTGGAAACAAACTTCATTCATCTAATTTTTAGTTAAGCTACTGATGCCTTTTTTTCTTTTTTTTTTTTTTAAAGTCTGTCAGACAAAGATATTAAACAAAATTAGTCATCTGCATAAGAACAAGAAACCTGAACTGGTAAAATGGAGAACAGTGCAGCATAAATTTAACCCAGACAGCACATATAATCCATATATAACATACATGCGTTCCCGACAAGTCTTCTTTATCTTCAAACTCCATCCTAACTGGATCATGTGGAGGCAATCCCATTGGATACACAATCATCACAGCCCCTCGGAGCTGGTCCAACGCATCTTTCACCATCTCCATATTAACACACACATTGGCCTGAACTTGTTTCTGAAATACAAGCAGAGATTGCTGTTAAATTTAAAAGAATATGAAGAAAGAGTATGCTTTGTAGTCTGTTCAAAGGTTCATCAGCGGGATAGTTGAACAAAGCTAACTGGCTGCATAAAAAATATTGCGAGTGCAAATTTTCTCCTTTGAATACTGATTTCTGAATACATCAACACCCCCCGCCCCAACACACACTATTTAAGTTGCTTACATTGGCAAAAAAAGAGAGATTTCAAATATCCGTTAAATAGTGCAGGAGGCATTTAACAACAAACGTCTGTGGAACACAGGCATTCAAAGTACACATATGATTGTGGAGTTCCAAATACTCGTGATTCGTGAACAGGATACAAAACAGTAAAATTCAAGTGAGGGCTATAGAAGGGGCCTCAAACCTGAGACTAATGTAAAAAATAGAACACACATGAGCAACAGAGTAAAGCATGGCTCACGCAGGTATCTTTAAGATCAAATACACTTGATATCATTCCAAACCATACTGCAACAACTAGAGAAAAAACAAGATGCAGCTGGAAGAGAATTATCAACAAACTTTGCTTATGGATTTAACAGTTCTAATATTTTAATAGCAAGGTTTACAAAAGAAAAAGAGACTAAGAGAATGTTGCCTCCTTGTGGACATCATTAAACTAGTTAACGGGCAAGTACAATAAGCTTCTAAACTTCAGATGATCCTTTTTTTTTTCTAACATATAGGCATTGCTCAATTTTCATCACTATGAAAACGACACTTTGATTTGAAAACTAACTCACTCTCAAAGTGAGGTGATCATATTTCTAGGTATTTACTTAAATGCGTGTGGCAATCAATAACAGAAACACTTGTCTAGCTCTCACACAATAGGTCTTGCCAAAGCCACTTCACAAATTATCTTTTCATTCTCCAGTGAGCTGCAGCAGTTTCTGGAGTGAATGGGCATGCAGTGTAGCAATTTTGTAGAGTAAATGACCACATGCCATAGAGTTGTAAACTTCAACCAGGAAAACCTGCAAAGTGGAGACCAAATCTGCAGGATATTTTTCCCTCAATAAATAAAACTATATATTATTACTTTTCTCTATATGTAGAAAAAGAGTTGGTCAGTTACAATCCAACAGAAAGAAAAAAAAAAAGTCGATCTGGAGAAAATCTTTCAAGACCAAAAGATTTAATCTGAAACATCTCTCATTGTATTCAAATTTTGCCACAACTCAGAACAGCTTGGCTGAAATCCTGCCAAAATTCAGAGAAGGTATGCTGCAGCTGAGCACACCGCAGGCACTGCCAGGTGACCGGGCAGCTTCTCTGCTTGCCTCCAACAGAACGACAAGGCCTTTGGGAACACGAGCTGCTCACTCCAAGTGACTGAAACGATACTAATATCAGCAGTGAAACTGTCAAGACAACCAATTTAACTGCACAGGCAACAGCAAAAATTCTGTACCATTAGCTATTTGTACACCTAGTTCAAAGCTGCTTAAAAGTTTCACAAACATAAATTCTCAGATTCCCTACAGGGATGGGAGGAAAAAAAAATGACTTACAAAGGTTTACAGGAAAAAATAAATTGATAATAAATATTTCATTTGTGCTTCAAACGCATATGAAAGCTGAGACACAATACAGAATGTCTGAATATCTGATAAAGTGAAGTTCAGTAGTTAAGATCACAGCCCCATCAGGGCATCCCTTCATGCTTATCTTTAAGCACACAAACTCACTGAGCCTGAGCAGGCTTCCAAGTGCTTGTAAGACCAAGGCCCAATCTAAGAGATTAGAACACATTCTTCAATTAATTACACATAAAATTCAAAAGACTATGGTAGGGAGCAAGAGGCATTTTATTCCAAGAATATCACAGAACGTAGTTAATTTTTCACTAGAAAACCTGACAAGCATTCACTTAAAAAATGCATAAAGAGCAAATTAAGAGCGCGTGGATAAAATTAAATGGAATTTAATCATTTAGTGTGGTCTAGGCTGCCAGTATTCACTTGGAATTTAATACCTGATTCTTTAACTTGTCGAACCAGCTTGCCAAAAGCCGTTAAGAAAATGATTAACAGAAACGTCACAGTTTTTATTAGACTATTTATATCACTTCATGACATTAGCCAAAACTGTTACCCTTGGCACTGAAAAAAGTCTATTTCTTCTTAAGCAGCCCAATTACACAGCACCTATTAAAAAAAGTTTCACATACCATATGCTGCTTCAGAAAACTTACCTTAGAGATTAATGCCTTAGCTTCCTCTATTGTCTTTCTTATAACTTGCTGCATTTTTTCATTTGGAGCTAAAAAAATAAGAGATGCGTATCTAATATTACATTAACATTACGTGGCATACAATCACAGCAAACAACCTGTCCAGGTTACCGTCCACTATAAGCAAATTGAACACTATTAAGTCGCAAATAACAGATGCACTACTAAGTTCCAGTCTATTTACTAGTCTGACAGTTCATTACCATATTGCTTACTAGTCCAAGAAACAAAATAGTATTTATCATGGGATAAACGACGGGTGTTTGGAACTTCATTTGAGAAAAAAATACTGAATAATAAAAAGCAATGGCCACAATCGCATGGCACAGCCCAAAACAAGACTCTTTCCTATGCTGTACCTAGGACTATCATGGGCTACCATGGGGGTACTGGCAGATGTGCTGTCAGCACGGACAACAGCTTGGAGTTTTCTGACTTTTTCATAATTAAAATCTCAGTCTACACAGCAGATGCAGTTTCATAAACACAATACACACTTCATACCATAATTATCTACTTTGATCCACTAACAAATCCTGTCAGAGCACAACCATAGGTAAAAGCGGTACTATCCTTACATTAAAGTAGCTTGCAAATTTTTACTGTAAGACCCTACATTAACTTTCTTACAGCTCGGCGAAGCTTTGAACCAAAACTCTTCTGCCAGTTGCCCACCCCAAGCCAGGCTTCGTCTTCAGGGCTAGGCATGTGAGAGGTTCAACCACTTCCGAGAACACAGATAAGAAGGAAAACTTTTAGTTTTATTAGAAGCTCTTAATATCGTTCAGTAAGGGCTTACGTTTGACTGCATAGCGCTTTGTGTTTGGGGAAAATAATTTTCCCCAAAGTGAGACACATGGAATAAGCTGTTTACATATGCCAGGCTAAGACTGTAACTAAATCATTCAAAGATTGCATCTTGATTGAACTGCCCTGAAGTCCACGTCTAAAGAGCCATCTGCCCCAGCAAGGGCTATCATGGCATCAAGAGCACAGGGGCAAGATAACAGTCATGGTCTCTGCTGTACTCTTGGTCCTCATGCTCGTGACTGTAAACTGGCGGTGGTGCTTGCTACACATACCAAGCACTACGGCAAAAGCACTTGGCAGAAGTGTGCTGAGCAGAAAGAAAAGAAATAGGAGGGAGTACAGTAAGTTAAAGTCACAATGAATGAGGAAAACGAGAAACATTAGAAAAACAACCACTTCACTGAATGTAGCTTGGAGATTCTGGAGAAAAATATTATATGAGCATGCATTTACAAAGTATTATGTTTGCAAAGTTAACTAGCATAAGCTAGCATATGTGCTGAAGAGCGGTAACATTATTTAGGCTTTTAAACCAACATTATGCCAGGTTCTAATCCAAAATAGAAGACTTAACACTCAAGTTTCACTGACAGTTTAGCTAAATTCTTCTGAAAATACTCTCCGTACAGAGATACTACTTATCGGGTGTATAAATGCCTTTAAAACAGTTTATTTAGAGGACAATTTTTACAATAATAGCAAATAAATGTGGGTTGGTTAGCATGCTGGCCTGCTATGAACTGTACACTTAGCATTCACTTGTTTTTCTCTTTTGCCAGGGCAGTGAAGTAAAAACGAAAGGTCAAGAATTATGCTTTTCATGTTCCTCATAATATCATACATTATATATCTTGCAGGGAAAGAAACATATATCTGTGCTCTATTTACCATGTCCATTCCTTCGTCCAATTTCATCCTTTTTAAAGACACTTCCACCACTTGGCACACATTTTTCTGCCCATTCATCCTTTAATTTCAGTTCTTCAATTTGTTCATCTGTCAGTCCTTGCATATTAGGAGGCAAGAAAATCCCATGCTCTGCCAGCTCCTCCATCTCTTAAAAGTGTTTAGAACATAAGATTAGAAATCTGTGTTATGAGGACATGTCATTTACAAAAACCTTTCAAATTATATAGTTAGCAGGCAAACCTTATTGCTGAGTTTCAGTTTTTAAAGATCTATGTAAATAAAATAAGTAAGAACTATATATACACATGCTGTAATATGAGATGCAATATGTGAAACGATGCAATACGTGAAACGATGGAGGAATGCAAACCTAGATGATACTTGCTGGCCATAAACCTTTTCTCAGTGGTACTTCATTAGTCAGCTTTGGCTGGCTGTGTATTTCTTTTTCTAAGTAGTTTTGGGAAAATAACTTCTTTTAAAATGGAAAATCATTTTATTTTTATACAGTAATGAATTTTTTCCACAGTGGAGAGAGTACGTATCTGGACTACCTGCAGCTTTCTCAGTACCACTTCACACCCAAAGGGTCAGTCACACCCAATATGAAATAAACACAAGTCTCTATATTAATTTATGTCTGACAAAGAAACAAACGTGTTGGATAGTTCTGGCGGAGGCAACAAACAGAGAGGTGTAAATGCTAGTTACCAACACATAATCTAGCCAGTGAGAATAGTGTATGGATGCAGCTTGGTCAGGCACATCAGGAACAACAGCAAGTGGCTGCCCCTTTGCCTTGACTACAGCATAATATCCTCTCCCTCAAAGCCCTCAAGCCTTGAAAGCAAGCACATTAGTCTCGCAACAGAAAGACACATCCCAAGAAATGGTTGTTCTGCTCCTGTGGCTGGGAATATGCACACACATGAGAACATAACGGCTGTAACTACATTAACAAGTGCTGTGGAGCAGCAGCAACAGATCTGCAGAAAGAGAGAGAGTTAGTGCTGAAAACCTGACATCCACATTGTCTGCGTATTGTAATTTTTTTATTTCAGATTGGCCCGAGCATAGTCTCATGCACTGAATACGCATTAGTGGTTGCAGGACATCAGGTGTAGACGGACTGCATCCTTCAGGAGAGCCTCATCCAAAGGTAATATAGTTTACACATTCCCAGACTGACCCAAGCACGGTCTGTGGTGACAAGAGGGAAACAGTCTTCAGAAGCGCACCCCTGATTTGAACTAAAACACTAATTTTGACATATCCGGAAGATACTGTCATTAGACAGAACTTTCTCCACATGTTGGTTATGGTTCTAGCCAGGAAGGACTCACACAGCCACGGAGGGACAGGCTGCCCCGCAGCTCAGTCATGCAACGGACGACTTCTCAGTCATGTACTGTGGGAAGCTCAGAGCCGTATGGACCTCAGGGCCCACTTCTATCAGTAAGTTATGGAGTACTTAAACAAAACAAAACAGAAAGTGGGATTTTACGCAAGGTTTGGTGGGGGGAGGGGTTGTGATTCACTGCGCTCTTCAGCTTAGGCGAGGAAGGCCTGTCGGCGGCTAGGCGAGCACTTCGGAGGCCCTTCGTGCATACCAGCCGGGCTGCGGCCCA